ACATCGTGACCAGAAATTTTTCCAAAGGCTATGATAGGTTGGCTGGAAATGACGTCAGAGTGACGTCATGTTCTGCCGTTTTCGACCAAAAAAAGGGTTTCGCGGGAAGAGCTGTCAGGCCTATAGCTTTGCAAATACAGAAAAACGATAAAGACATAAAAGATGTAAAATTGACAGGGCTACAAAACTGCAATCTCGGATTTTTGAAATTTTTGGATTTTGACCCCCAAAAATCAAAAAATAGATTTTTTGAATATAATAACCGAAAAATCCAAAAAGTTTTTGGAGTTTCGCAAAAACCGGAATATATATGATAGTCCTTACCGCCTTCTATCCACATACCAAATTTGAGATTGATACCTCATTTTTTGGCGAAGTTATAGCGAAAAAACTGTTCAAAATTGATGACGTCAAATTTTCAAACTCAATTTTTAGCAATTCTAGACCCCGTAGCGCAAAACAAAGACCACCATTAGACTCCCCGTGACGAGCTGCATCGAATCAATACCCATTTTATGCAAAACTATCAACTTTAAAATTTGACCTTTCTTGACCTGACCTTGACCTGACCTTCACCAGAAAGTGACCTAAGCCGTACCTGATAGTCTTATAACCAACACCATTGAGTTGGAAATGAAAAATTGGCCATAAAACATGCATTGCACAACCTAAGTACCTAATGTTAGGTTCATGTGACCTGACCTGTGGGCTGTGACCCTTGGTGACCTGACCTGTGACCTGACCTGGTATTGTCAGTGACCTCTTATAGCAACATATGTACTAGGCAACTGACGCCCTATCGCTGATTCTCGACAAAATGCGTTTTCTTCGGTGTTATAGCGCATTCCCTAGATGACCCGTGAACGGTGAAACATGTCATCTTTGACCTGACCTGTGACGTCATCGGTGACCCCGAGGTCAATGAAATTCGGTTTCCCTCGATAAATTTGACAGGCCTTTCGAACGCCGTTTGAATTTTGAGGATCCGTCAAGTAGTTTCGGAGATACGAGGGGGGGCAAAAAATAGCCCCCCCCCCCCCACCAGGTCGCGTTATAAACAGACCCCACCAGGGCGCGGGTTAACGGTCGGAAAGCCGTCAAAATCAATGTTATGCCAAACTCGCTCAATAGATGGCGCAGGTTTCGTTGCGCTCAGAGCGCCGATGCTAATCGCTATTCTGAGCACGATTCTGCCACTGGGGTTTCCAAACTTTGTGAAGAGGTGGGGGTAAGCATGTAGAACTAGGAAAGTGGTAAATATAGTACCTTTCTCGAATTTTTCCCACTACATTTTGCAAACAACGAGAAAAATTAGCAAAAGTGGTCTCGAAAAACCGTTGACGGCGCGCCCAGTTCCTTTTCAAAAATTCGCAAAAAATATGTTTTAACCGTTTTATGGATCAGCCCGTAGGAACAGGGCCTCGGCTAACATGTTAACTGGTGGGCCAAATGGCCCACCAGTGACCCGAAATGGCCCACCAGTCTCAAAGATTTGGCCCACCAGTTATTTTCCGAAAAATCTAAGTTTTCACATTTTTCACTTTTCAAATTGAAATAGCAGATCTTATCGTACATTTTCAGGCTGTAAAGTACCCATCGGTGAAACATATTCTTGTGAAAAAACTTCAACCTATTGTTTGCAATATCCTCTTGGGTGGACTATAGTACCCACAACTTTAAAAAAAAATCCACCACCTACGTCTTTGCTGTATGATTTTTACTTCGATTTCCATGTGACGTCACAGTACTTCCATGTCCAGTGGTGTCCGGTGTGCTCAACCGGATACCACCGGATATGGAACGGATATTAACGGATGACAAACGGACGTCCAACGGAAATAAACGGACATCACCGGACGCTGACAGTTCTCGTCCGTTTCTCGTCCGTTGGTCCAATCCGGTGAAGTGTGACCGAGGCTTTAAATCTTATGCAATAATCGTGAAAGACGTCTGCCTCTGTCAATTACAGATAGTGTCGGCGGCTTCCAGCCGATCGAGGTCTGCGAAAGTTCTTGCAAGGTTTCCGATCGATCGAGTGGTTGCAGTCACATAAGCATCAGCTCTGCCGCAGACCAGTCGGTTACAAGAAAAACTACGAATAAAGAACAGACCAGTTCAGACGGTCGGGTATAAGCCTGCGAGCGATCCATAGGCGTCGCCAGAGATTTTCGGTTGGGGGGGCAAAATCAAGTTTTGTGTTCAAATCTTGCCTTTTCCCAGTCGCTACTCACTCGTTTTACGTATTATTCGACGCGCAATAGTGCGAGGAATCCGATGGTGACAAAGTTTTCCTTCTAGCTGTGACATGTAATTTTTTAAACAGAAAAAAATCGAAATTTTGAAATTTCCGGACAAAAACGACCGTTAGAATTACAGTGGCTGCAATTGCCAACGCACTGCAGAGGGCCCCTGTGCAGACGCTTGTCGCTCATGATCATCACCCAGCAAAATGATGAAAAACGGTCCATTTAGTTGCATCACCCTGCTGAAACTCCATTCACGCATGCATGCAGAGGTTTACATGAAATGCATAGGGCTTATCCCAGCCGCCGATTGTAGCTAAGTTGGGCATTCGGCGGAGAGTGAATGTCGGAAGTGTAAATCGGAAGTAATTTCATCTTGCTCCCGTGAGTGGAAGTGTTTTGTTCACTCGAGTGTGAACAAATAGTTTCTCGTTTTTCGTTTGAAGGGAAGCACTGCAAACGCTAACAAAAAATGTTTAACGGAACCAAAATTTACGCACAGCATAGCGCAAGGGATCCCTTAAAGATAGGCTTGATACTTCCAGGCCATTTCAGGACACTCACGGTCAGTTTGGACTCTCAGAAGTCAGAAGCCTGCTTAGGATCCCGGATATCGGCGTGGGCCATCCCAAATATTTACGTATATGTGGTGCTTTAGGGCTTTCTGAGCCCAAGGTGGGGCCCTCAGAAGCCATTGTGGGTGGCGGGCGCTAAGCGAATAGGCCCAGGGTGAGCTTGGAGCCCTCGGATAACAGTGTGAACCATCGGGGTCTGTGTCGAATCCCTTAGGACGCTACGTAGGGACATAAGAAACATGTGTTGCGGCCCTCAGAGGGACGCGTGAGTTGTGACCCCTCATATGCCGTCTTGGGTGTCTGTCGCCTCAAAAGTTCGGCTGAGCTATCAGAGACCAGTTAAAGTTCTCAGAAATTTTCGAAATCATCCTCAAAGATCCGTGTGGCCCTTCAGAGGTCTACGTATGTATAAGATCCTCAAAGATCCCTGTATGGTCCCTCAGAGAACATGGCCATCAGTGGGACTCTCAGAGGCCGGTGTGGGCCCTCTGAAAGCTTCTTAGAGCTCAGTAGAGCTCCTTAGGAGCCTGTGTGAAAAGCTAGCGCTGCGACACTTGAACAATACTTGAGCCTGTCGCAGACATTTGACAAGAATTGAGCAAAGTCCCGAAAATTTCGTGTCACGCTTTGAACGAAAATTATGTGTCAGCACTCCAAAACTTATGAAACTCAGCTATAGAATGTAATTAAGAACCAACTAGGAACAGGGAATGAATCACAGCATTGACATTTCTGAGTCTGGAGTCGGAGTCTTGAAGGTTTTGGCGACTGCGACTCCGACTCTGGTTTGAACTGCACGCTCCAACCGAGTCTGACATCACAGGCATTCTCAGAAAGGTACCCCCATTTTTCCCGACCCCTAAATCTCATCGGATCTGTATCGATCTCAGGGGATGCCCGGCCCGAGGTTGGGGGGGGCAAGCTGCCCCGCTTGCCCCCCCGTGGCGACGCTAATGGAGCGATCTCAGACGGCTCGTCGATATACACGATATAAGCCAGAGTCAAACTAGAGGTAGTGTCGACGACATCCAGCAGATTGAAGCAGAGGCGGATCCAGCTCAGTTTTTTTTTGGGGGGGGGGGGGGCAAACCATAACAATTTATCGATTCTTTCCATGCATCGTCCATAGGCGTAATGTTAAAATCATGCCGTTTGGGGGGGCAAATGCCCATTTTGCCCCTCCCCCCGAATCCGCCACTGGATTGAAGTCTGCAAGCGATATTATGCGTCTTCACGACCGGTATGATGCTTGCAGTCACACATCTGACCAGTCGGACGAATTTCGAACCGTTCACAGTCAGCGTTCCAAAAATTTCTCATTTGGGCTGAAGATGACACTCAAGAATAAGAATGAATAATTTTCCACTCTCACATTTTGGGTGGCTAGAATTTTCCACTCAGACACCAAAGATAAATCTGAAGTTTGGGACACTGTTCACCAAAAGCGTACATAACTTAGTTTTTTTTTTAAAGAAAAATATTAGGGTTGCACAGTGCGCTTGGGCTTTTGAGTCAATTCTTTTCCATGCGACACCAATATGCTTAATTATCATTTTCAGAGATGTTGGGGCTGCTGCTACAACCCCCTTTTGGGTTCCTGCTACAACCCACTTCACTAAAGTTGCACTAGTGCTGCACACAATTCCTCCCGATCCACCCGACAACGCCCGATCCCGTCCGACCGCTTCCGAATCTCCGACTAGTCGGCGAGCGATCCACTCAGGGCTCGCTGATTTTTAACATCCGATCGGCCGTAAGTTATCGTCCAAAGTTTTATCTGCGTTAATATTTTGTGCATACTTGTGCGATTTTATGTGCACCGCCGGAGTATCACCACTGAGAGGGTTGTGAGTCCCTACTCTCTACTCTCTCCTCTCTCTGAAGAGTCGGGGAGGGGTCGAGGCCCGTTTTTTACATTTTTTAATGCCATCCTGACGTTTTTTTTTGCAGAATAAAGTGGCCGAAATCTGGAGAGAAATCGAAAATTGGGGGGGGGGGGGCTATGGCTACGAAGGTCAGTCCATGTCGCTGCCCAAGTGGCCCACCAGTCCAAATTCCTTAGCCGAGGCCCTGCGTAGGAAAATCGCTCTTCACTTGGAAACTTTTTCCGTCGACCCGCCCTAATGCCCACCCGGGTCCGCGAAAGTGTCGTTCCAACTCCGTTCTCATCACAGACGCTCGCTATCACGACATCATGTATTGACAAGAAGCGAGCGCCAGGTGGTCACTCGTTCTCCTCACTCCTCAGCCGCGCGTGGCCGTTGGTCACGAGAATGTTGAGCTGCTGGGCGCGTTCCAAGATTAGCTTGCGCTTCTTGGCGGAGACGGCGTGCGCCACCTCGGCACAGTAGCGCTGGTTCTGCATCATCAGGACCTCCAGCTCCTGCGCCAGACCGGTGGCAGACGTCACACACCTACACCTGAACACCTGCCCCCTCCCCAACACACACCTACACCTAAACACCCGCCCCCAACACACACCTACACCTAAACACCCGCCCCTCCCCAACACACACCTACACCTAAACACCTGCCCCCAACACACACCTACACCTAAACACCCGCCCCCTCACCAACACACACCTACACCTAAACACCTGCCCCCCCCCCAACACACACCTACACCTGAACACCTGCCCCCTCACCAACACACACCTACACCTAAACACCTGCCCCCTCCCCAACACACACCTACACCTAAACACCCGCCCCCCAACACACACCTACACCTAAACACCTGCCCCCTCCCCAACACACACCTACACCTAAACACCCGCCCCTCCCCAACACACACCTACACCTAAACACCCGCCCCCCAACACACACCTACACCTAAACACCTGCCCCCTCCCCAACACACACCTACACCTAAACACCCGCCCCTCCCCAACACACACCTACACCTAAACACCCGCCCCTCCCCAACACACACCTACACCTAAACACCCGCCCCCAACACACACCCACACCTAAACACCTGCCCCCTCCCCAACACACACCTACACCTAAACACCCGCCCCTCCCCAACACACACCTACACCTAAACACCCGCCCCTCCCCAACACACACCTACACCTAAACACCCGCCCCCAACACACACCCACACCTAAACACCTGCCCCCTCCCCAACACACACCTACACCTAAACACCTGCCCCCTCCCCAACACACACCTACACCTAAACACCTGCCCCGCAACACACAACTACACCTAAACACCCGCCCCTCCCCAACACACACCTACACCTAAACACCTGCCCCCCAACACACACCTACACCTAAACACCTGCCCCTCCCCAACACACACCTACACCTAAACACCCGCCCCTCCCCAACACACACCTACACCTAAACACCCGCCCCTCCCCAACACACACCTACACCTAAACACCCGCCCCCAACACACACCCACACCTAAACACCTGCCCCCTCCCCAACACACACCTACACCTAAACACCTGCCCCCTCCCCAACACACACCTACACCTAAACACCTGCCCCGCAACACACAACTACACCTAAACACCCGCCCCTCCCCAACACACACCTACACCTAAACACCCGCCCCTCCCCAACACACACCTACACCTAAACACCCGCCCCCAACACACACCCACACCTAAACACCCGCCCCCCCCCCAACACAACCTACACCTAAACACCTGCCCCCCAACACACACCGACACCTAAACACCCGCCCCCCAACACAACCTACACCTAAACACCGACCCCCCAACACACACCTACACACCATTCTGCAAATCCGCCGGCTCAGCTTTTTCGATACACTACAATCATTGTGATTCAGCTGAGCTAACGTGACTCAATTGAGCCGGTAATCCACAGACCAGCGAAGCTTTGCTTTCGATGTTAACACAGGGAAACAAATAACACTTATAGTAGTTTGTTCAAGCGATATGTGTGATGGCAAAATACACTTTCAGGGGGGGGGTCGAATCGCCCCCCCCCCCACCAGTTAACGTAGTCCAGAAAGCCCACCAGTAATAGGGTTAAAGGCGGCCGTCCACTGGTTAGGCGCGCACATTTACGCGCTGAATTTAACATTGGAGCCTATGGACTGCGCAACGGCTGCGGTTTCAGCGCAGAATGCGCTGAAATTTCCCCCCTTGTCCTCACCCGGACGTTGTGGATGACCACCTTCCTGAAGCCATTGGGCAGGATGTGGCGGTGTGTGTACTTGGTGCCGTAGCCGATACTTGGCATGGGAATCTGGCCCTTAAAGCGCCGCCGGGCCGCATTGTCAATACCCCTAGGCTTCCGCCAGCTCGGCTGAAAAACAAAAACACAAGAGTTAAATATCAATAGCTGGGGCAGGGCCAGGGGGGGGGGGGGGTGGTCATCGCCATAGGGACACACGTACAAGGAAATGGCTACCAAATGCTGCCAATGTGACGTCACTGGGATGCTCGAAAGCTGATTGGTCGCTGAAATTCAAGTAATGTAGTCAATTCTGGCGCACCGTGTTTTAATTCGGGCCAAAAACTGGCCAAGACACGAAATATCGACTATTTTTAAACGTTTTCATTAGGCCACTAACGTGTTCAAAAATGATCCGAGCATCTTCAGCTTTTATTCTCTTTACCTTTGAAAACGTTGAAAATATACAACAAAGTCAGACAACTCTCTCAAGCTAAACTTACGCGAACAAACGCAGAAACAGTCGCCCTGCTTCACGTCAACATCTTCGAGCTATGGATTAACAAAACTATATAATTCGGGTACCAAACAATAGCGCGAACTATTGGCTTTGTAATGAGTAATTACTTATATAATTATAATAAATATAAGTGTTACTTTTATTGATTGCCGTCAGTCCTGACACAATCACACTTTTTCGAAACATGTCAATGTTCTAATAGAGCCACAAAACAGTATAGACACTTACTAAATGTGGAATAATGCAATTATGAACGACACTACAAGAAAACAATTGGTTGATATACATGCAAAATTGATGCGACAATCTAATGAAACTGAGAGATTGATCATTTGGCCAAAAATTACGTGACTAGACCCTAAAAGGTAAGGGGGTCGGTGTTCGCCCCATCTTCCCCTTAACCCTATTAGTGACAGGGGGGGGGGTTGTTTTCATCCACCCCTCAGGTTTTCGGGAATATCTCCGAAACCGCTGAAGCTACGATGCTGAAATTTTCTGACTTTTCCTAAAACTAAATTGGGCACATTCCCTGAAAATTTCAAGTTCATAACTTTACCAGGGGCGGCTCCAGAGCACTGGGAATTGGGGGGTCCTATTCGTGAAGCGAGTCATTTGGGCGAAGATCACGATGCTGATGTATTATAACTGTATGCACCAGTTTTACGAACAGTGAATGAAAGGTATCATGTGATAACATATACAAAGTTATTGTGCATCCTCTTTTGACACGTTTTTGCTATAATAGGCGGATCCAGGCGTCCAAAAGGGGGGGGGGTATGTTTTACCTCCCAACATAGGTGCCCTGACACCACCTATGCATGACCAATACAATTGTAGTCGTTCTCTCATAAGAAAATTGTAACATAACAAGACCATTACCACCCTTTTTAGAAACAGTACCAACAAAAACCTTATTTACTATACTTTTTGTGTACCCCCAATCTCAATTATCTGTATCCGCCTATGATTTTTGAAAATGCATATTTTTAGGATCCATGTGAATTCCTGGTTCATTCTCTATCGATCGGCAAAAGCTGCGCTAAGATTTTTTAGAAATGTAGATCACGTTGAGCGAAATCGAATGCTGTTTGAATTTTGAAAATCGGCCCGTTAGATCTCGAGATATCAGGGGAGGGGTCGTAAACAGCCCCCCCCTGCCACTAATAGGGGTAGCCAGGAGCCTGCCACTAATAGGGTTAAGATGTGCCGCCACAGAAGCAGTGGCAGATCCGGGGGGGGGCAAAATGGGCATTTGCCCCCCCCCCCCAAAAAAAACTATGAGCTGGATCCGCCTCTGCACGGAAGCAGAACTAAAACTCACCTTCACACGGTCATAGCGGTCACTGTGAAACCTCTTGAACTTGTTTGTCTTTTTCTTGACAATTTTGGGTCTGGAAATTGGTTTAGGTGCCATTGTTCTGGAAAAAAAAATGCAAAGCATGTTGTTAAGGACAAAACAGGCGCAAACGATAGGTATTTTTGATGTCTTGCCCCAGTTACTCTGGTCAGATGAATAAAAGGATGTGTTACAGATGGCACAGTTCATTATCGCAAATGAAGCATAAAGGTTAGGCTACACATCAGTGACCATCCAGGAAATTAGGTGCGTTTTGAAGATCCGTGATTGCGGGACTTCCTTGAAATTGATTAACATTTTCCCAGAATTCCCGTAAATTATCAAACGCTGACGCAGGTATAAAAACAATTAGTACAATCCCGATAAACGAACAGGTTTGTCTTTAAATGTTTGTTTCGTATCTAAAATAATTATTTCAGTCGAGCACACTGCACAATGGAACCGGAGCGAAAATTAGCGCGACATCGGTACTTTTTCGTGTTTCGTGCCCGCTGTTTACATGAAAGGGCATTCATACAAATGGTAGCCGGTATACTTTCTCAGCAATAACCGATATATTTAGTCAATTAATCATTCGTAATGTCATTAAAGGAAGACTGCCACCTTCAAAAAGTTTTCTCAGATCGGCCTATGATTTATTCCCTGGACAAAACAAAATTTTATAATTCACCTGACAAAGTATCATCACGTGAATCGCGAAAAAAATTGTCGATTATCATACAATTATCAATCGGTTAATGTCTAGTGACAATGTTTACACATCACTAGACTTCAAGGTCATAAGATTATTACATTTTATTTGAAAAAGTAAGGTATTTTATGATTTTCTAATATATGATTTCATAAGAAATTGGCCATGTTTAATTTATTTTGCATTTAAGTTCGTAAAACATTTAAAAATCATGGCTCATTTGGAATGGGTTTGGCGGCCCATGTTAAACCCCATTTCCCACACTTTTTTGGGAAAAATGAACTACTGAATATATAAGTTTAACTTTTATTTTGACACTCCAAAATTCTTCTCTGATCTCGAAACAATCAAAGTTTTGAAATATATTTACCAAAAGATAAGAAAATTCATGTTTCAAAGTTATCGATAAACAGTAGATGTCGGTTTTCTTGGACTAAAAAAATGGCATCAAACTGAACTTTGGTCTCCGATTTCTCGCAAACGGGTTCGAATTTCGGAAAACCGACTTCAGTCTGGGACATAGGTGGCTCAGCTCTAGTGAAAACCGTTTTGTGGAAAAAAGGTGGCAGTCTACCTTTAATTGATTGATTAATTAATCAATCAGTTGCCCTGCGCTGACCTCTACTCGGTTCGGTCATGTGATAAGATGGTAACACCTGTCAGCCGTCAGGTTAGGTCATGACGGCACCGGAAATTTCGATAAGCAAATAATGTAGCCATCAAAACCATGATGGGAATCTGATGGCTTGCATGACTAGAGTACAGGGTGTCCCATAAGTTCGTTCTCACCTGAATTTTACTTTAAAGGAAATAGTTCACTTTTTAACATGGGTTTTGAACTGGAATAGCAGTTCCGTAGCTTGGGCTGAGACGAGCATAAATCAGGAGCTTTTACAGCCCAACGATCACCCTAGGCAAAGATATTCTATTTCTCGTCCCGAAAAATGTGTCTTGCGTTGAGGATGTGTGCCTTGCATATATTCGCATCCAGTATGAAACGAGCATAGGTCCCGAAAATTCTTCAGAAACTAGAGAAATTATCTACAAGAACTCTAGAGAAATTCGCTCCAGTGAGGCGCTCCAGTAACAAAAGCACGAGCAGATCGCCCAAATGCCGGTGGCCGCGATAATTTCTAGTTTCTGAAGAATTTTCGGGACCCATGCTCTTTTCATACTGGATCGCGTGTGCCTTATAGAAACTGAAAAGTTCTTCCTATATCAAAAATATAGAAAATAATCTTTTGTTGTAAAAAGGTTTTATTTTCTTTGCTGATCATTTTGAACATAAAAAATCACAAATCCATTGCAAAAAAATAATTTCGTGAAAGTGAACTATTTCCTTTAAGGCGTTCTCTGCTTTCAGAACACGCTGATCTTAATTCGTAAATTAGCTTATGTGGTTGCCATGGCAACTGGCAATATGCTCCACCATGATCATTTTCTCCAGACAAAACATTTTTTGCTTTAGAGTTCAGTTCCTGTATAGACGTCTGACGCCGCAACATAGAGGTCTCTGAGACGGGTACGTCTTGGCATTTCGTCATCACGTAGGCCATTCGGGACAATTGAAGGTGTCTGTACTCTGTAGCCAGCTTGTATGTAGCCAATGTCTGTCGCTAACTGGGCACACAGTCAGAAAGTGACGCCGATTATTTGTCGGGAGTCAGTCCAACCTAAAACCTAAACCTAAAACCTACCAACCTAAAACCTACAACCTAACCTAACCTAAAACCTAAATTTTGTGCTGTTACATATTAGTATCAACAGCGTCACAATTGTCCACTCAGACCTAATATATACTAATACCCAGAAGAGTACAGGTAGTCAAAATTGGAAACATTTCCAATAATAGGAACGCCTCCATAAATGAATCAGAGATACCACAGTGCGCCCGACTGACATAACCAAACATGCCCTGCAGCACCCTCTTTTCACTGGCGTCCGTGTGTAGCTCCAGTATAATTACTAAGGCCGATATGGGAAAATTTAAATCAGTTGGGCAAACTAGACCTTTGGAATCAAAATATGGAGGCATCAAAAGATTGATTCCTTATGACCATATTTGGGCATAAATGCAGACCATTTCTAACTTACCAATCACATAAAAATAAGAGTGTTTCAAGAAGGAGCATGCCTGATCTTGAACAGAAATGCTGGAACAATCTCCTAAGCAAAATAATATTGCTCCTATCATAACAATTTGAATTATATAGGTAGTGAAAGGCAATCAAGGAATTGATTCACTTTAAACAGATAATCATAATATTGATTCCCCATCAGCTGGCTAATCACTATTTTGATTCACAGGTAATGTTAACAGATAGGCAACGACTTGCAAGAATACAGCATTTATCTTGCTATTATTCTCATTTAGTGGTATCCTCAGCACCACAACAGATACCTATAGCATTGTTGTACTTTACCTTCACTACATTTGATAACAATTCACAATTTTTAAATGCCAAGAATAGGTACAAGAACTGAAGCAACAGGTAAAAACCACATAAATAATATAAAAGCACTACCCCCGCGTTCGATGTCTCTCGGACGACGAAGATTCTACGTCGTCCGGCCAATCCCGTCCAAGGTCAGCGGGGGCTCGGCTGCAGTTATGGGACGTGATTGGCCGGACGGCGTAGAATCTTCGCCGTCCGTGAGACATCGAACGCGGGGTACAACAATGATAATTAGGGGTTCAAAAATTTCATTTTGACATTTTACACAGATACTGATTGTTTAGTATGTGATTCATGATACAAAAAATAACACAGTGTGATTTACTCAAAACAGCTTTTACGTGATGGACAGTGGCTCCGTCTTTTTCCCATTCACATGGCCAAAGGGACAATTTCTTAGCTTTGAGGTAACACTTTTTGCAAACCTACCACATTTTTCTACCTTTTTAAAAAAATCTCACCGTCATGGGCCTTTTTTCAACCGTAACGATACATTTGAAGTCAAAAGTGTACCCAAATGAATCAAAAAATTGATTCCATGCCCATATTTGGTCATGGCTCCACCCACCAGAATCAAATTATTGATGCCTCCATATTTTGATTCCAAAAGTCTAGTTTGCCCAACTGAAATGTTTTGGGGGCAAGTACATCAAATTTCAGCATGTTAGTCCTTTTCTATGAAATCTGACAGAGCACACAATTCCAGGCATCAGTCATTCGCAGGTGGTTCGTATCTTAAAAGTTGCCGGCTATTTTTCTGACCGTAAAACTGGCCCCTGAACATCAAGAGATTTCCTTGAAAATCAAAATATGCGTGATACAAATGTGGCCGACCATGTGTATTTCCCATCGGTTGAACTTTACCTGCGTACCGGTTTCCCGCAAAACTCGACAAAACGCAGATCACGGACGTGGGATCCCGGATGGTGTAGCTAGACCTTAAAAAGAAAATAATTTAACGAACTCTGTCACCGACGTACCCACTCGACCAGTCCACACCGGAAAAGGGTGGCGCCACTTCAGTGCAGCGTCAGCCATAAGAAGTATGAAAATAATTGTGTTTTCGTTGTTTTTCAAACAAATTTGTTTGTAATAAATAATGTACATGTAATTTTTATTTTTTTTTGTTAGACCAAATTAATATTCAGTAACAAAATGAACGTGAAACTGCCTCAAATTGCTCCATAGTAAGATTCCGGACAAATCTTCTTGAAATCTTCGTATGACACGCGTATTTGGAAATTCCGACCTCGACGAGCATCTGTGGTAGAAAACCACCACTTTGGTAGGGGAAACTACTGCTGTCTGCTACCATTTGCACCGCATGTCATTTTGCACCGTGATGTGTCGCTATAGCTGCGACATCTATGCATATTAATACATATAAACCGCGACATCTGTGTGCGCTGATTCTAGTTAGCGATTAGCTAGGGCACCAGGGTGGATCTAGACTTTGGATTTGAGGCAGGGCCGGGATGCGGAGCGGAGCCGGAGTCGCCGGAGCCGGCATATTTTGCCCGGAGCCGGAGCCGAAGCCGTGAAACAAGGTAGCCCGGAGCCGGAGCCGGAGCTGGAGCCCTAAAAAAGGGGCGTGACTCCGGCTCCTTTTTTAAGAGGAAAAAGTTATTGACCTAGTTTGGTTTGTCAAACCGAACTGCCTTGAACTTTGCAGTTCCAGGCAGTAAAACATGCGATATTCAAAATATGAAAACAGCCTTGTTATGCAATGCAGAAGCAACGTGCACCAATCCATCTTCTTTTTTCTGCCACCCGTATTTAATATGGGACGCCATTTAATTGCGTCCCAGAAAAGCTATTTCTGGCACCTAAAAGCTGACTCGCCCCAAAAATGGTCCTCAGCACCTATTTGGTGGATACCAGCACCAATCATGGAAAATGACCTTAATTAGCTGTTTCTGGCACCTATTCATCGGTACGCCTTACTTTTTTTTCTGAATCTGGCACCTAAATGCTGAGCGTAGCACCAATCTAGTAGAAAAATGAACTACTGGCTGGTAGAATCATGTTGTTCTGGTATAATGACCCCTGGAGTCTAGCCTAAAGGGCGTATTTGGAAATTCCGACCTCGACGAGCATCTGTGGTAGAAAACCACCACCTGCATGAGTCGCTATAGCTGCGACATCTATGCATATACACAGTGGCGCAGCCAGGGGGGGGTCAGAGGGTCAGCTGACCCCCCCGAAATTTCTGTCAGGGGCCCGCTCGAGAGAGAGAGAGAGGGAGAGAGAGAGAGAGAGAGAGGGAGAGAGAGAGAGAGAGAGAGAGAGAGAGGGAGGGAGGGGGGAGAGAGGCCCTAATCTAATCGGACGAGCCCGCTTCGAGAAATGCCTACTGGGACACCACGGGTGAGGGGTCGGCCTGGGGCCCCAGGTGGATGGGGCCCGGGCCCCCGGGAGAACGGTCCCGGGCCTCCTGGGTGGATGGGGCCCGCCCCCCCCCCGTTGATGGGTCCGGGCCCCGGGAGATTGGAGAACGGACCCGGGCCTCCAGGAGAACGGGGGCCCGGGCCCCGGGAGAATTGACCCGGGCCCCCGGGAGAATTGACCCGGGCCCCTGGGAGAACGGGCCCGGGCCTCCTGGGTGGATGCCCCCTCCCCGTTGATGGGTCCGGGCCCCCGGGAGAACGGGCCCCGGGAGATTGGAGAACGGACCCGGGCCTCCCGGAGAACGGGCCCGGGCCCCCGGGAGAATTGATCCGGGCCCCTGGGAGAACGGGCCCGGGCCTCCTGGGTGGATGGGGCCCGGGCCCCCGGGAGAACGGGCCCGGGGCCCCGGGAGATTGGAGAACGGGCCCGGGCCCCGGGAGAATTGATCCGGGCCCCTGGGTTAACGGGCCCGGGCCTCCTGGGTGGATGGGGCCCGGGCCCCCCGTTGATGGGTCCGGGCCCCCGGGAGAACGGGCCCCGGGAGATTGGAGAACGGACCCGGGCCTCCCGGAGAACGGGCCCGGGCCTCCGGGAGAATTGACCCGGGCCCCTGGGAGAATGGGCCCGGGCCCCCTGGGTGGATGGGGCCCGGGACCCCCGTGGATAGGTCCGGGCCCCCGGTAGAACGGGTCCCGGGCCCCGGGTGGACGCCGGACCCCCGGGTGAATGGGGCCCGGCCCCCGGGAGAACGGGGCCCGGCCCCCGGGAGAACGGGGCCCGGCCCCCGGATGGATGGAGCCCGGGCCCCCTGGTGGACGGGCCCCGGAGCCCCGGGTGGACGGGGCCCGGAGCCCCAGGTGGACGTGGCCCGGGCCCCCGTGTGGATAGGGCCCGGGCCCCTGGTTAAATGGGGCCCGCTAGGGTGACCCGCTTGCTCCGCAAAGCGAATAAGGGGTATTTTCGATCGGTGGGCGTTTGGTTGGTCTTGTGTCCGTGGGTGATGTATCCATTTCGGTTGATTGCTTTTTGACGGCTAAGCATTTTGGATTGGGAAAAAATATCCATTGCATCGAGGTGCTCGTGTCTGATAAGCATGCGTTCTACTATAGAACATGTCATGTGTAGTTTATAACAACGGTTGACGTAGGTTATTGAAAAATGACAGCCATCGATGAATTACTATGTAGAGGTTGCCAACATTTATATTTTTAAGAAGTTGCTCGTCATGCAAAAGCGATGATTGGATTTTGGACAAAATTGAATGCTCTTTCCAACTATGCCATTTTCAACTGTCAAACGTACCAGGTTATGCAGTAAAACCCGTGTAATTAAGTAAGTCATTAACAAATACCATTCTCTCCAGCGATTTGTTCCACCTTGTTTTTGATCAATTAGCTTTTCACAATTTTTCCATGAGAGGCGGTAGGGAGAGGCGGGAGAATTGGGACGCAGGAGAATAGGGACATGCCAATATCTAAAAAATGGACAGCATCCTTGCACGGTTATTGCCTTTACCTTTTGATTCTATGTGTCATGCAACGATGGGAAGCCTTAGCAACCCTTTTGTGGGCGTCGTTTGGGCTGTGCTGGCTGAGCACCAAAAAACTTGTTTTTTCGAGTGCTATTCTGAGTTGTCTGTGCATTGCATATGACAAACTATCTTCTTTTCAACATGTTACGATGTTAGATTAACACCGTCCTTATGCGATTGCTAGTTTCTATGAACACGCTCTGTAACTGATAAATGACAAAAAATGCGTGATTTGTTATGGCGGTGTTGTGGAAGAATAGGGACACCAAATGGTAAAAACGGTAAAGTGGTGTAAAAATATGTGTTTTTACCTTCGTGTTTTGGAAGGGGTTGCAGCTGCACCCTTAATCACAAATACATCAAAGCAAAGACCAGAAAGTCTTACTCTGGTAGGAAAATGTGCATTTTATGGGAACATCGTAATCGTGAAAGACGATCTCGGCATTTAACGAAACAGATAGTGTGAAGATAAGTTCCAATGTATCAAATGATTGCCTATAAACATAGACACGACAAATAATTCGAGATAGAGTCATCCCAATACCCGATTTTTATATGTCCCAATTCAGCTTCGTGTCTGTCCCTTGTCTCCTTGCATGTGTCCCTATTCTCCTGAAAATGAGTGTTTTTGTTTTTGTCCACATATAGCTACATCATTGCACAGGCTCGCTATTTTATGATGGCATAATGCAGAGAAATGGTGCGACCTTTTATTGGTGCTGCGCAAAGCAGCTTGGCTACAATACTTGCCAAATAATACCTCAATGAACATGGCCTGAGAAATAAGTCCCAATTCTCCCGCCTCTCCCCTACATTTCTTTTGCCAACAGGCGTTGTTTGAACCCGCTCCGTCAAACAGTCACCCGAAAATAGCATTAAGTCCCAAATCTGTCCGAAACGTAAATTTCCCAGCATAAGTGCCCTCACGGGTGCACGTGGCGCGTGCCATCCCTGCACCGCACACCATTCGATAGCCCTTTCGATTCTCTACACGATACCCCGTGGCGATTGGGCCCACGGTTACCGAGATATTGCACGGGGACCGGACCAGTGTCTGGCAAATTTAGTCATTTTCGCCCGATTTTGCAAGCCGATTTATACATACATGTAAAGTCCATAACGCGAATTTGCACTTTTTGAGCACGCGTCATGTGCTCGCTATCAATCCGATCGAGGTGAGACCCTCAAAGGCACGTTGCCCAAAGGCACGTATAAGTTGCGCAAATTTCAGCGCACTTGGCGCAACGGTCGGGCCCGTACCCCGCGCTAAGTAACACCATGCCGGGACCTCGATAGCAGACAGAATCTACGTCACCACATCACCACGCCACAACAAACCCGGCCCATGGCAATACATGTCCCATATGAGCGCGTTAACCCTCGCCGGCACAGGTCATTCCGGCCATTTTGCGTCGTTCGACGGCACAAGAGGGGGGGATGGTACGACCCCTTCGTGTTTGGCCCATGATCGAGCTAGAGCTTCGCGGGAAATACGAGCGTGTTCCCCGTGACGAGAGGAAGCCGACGATACCCAATTTTAAGGTTTTTGGTCATTGGTTGACCTTTCAGGTCAGGTCAATGACCGAAAAATCGGGAAAATCGGGACCTGTTAGAACGTCGTTAATTGTGGCTGCTATAGGGTTTTTCGGGGTACTGATCATGAATAGTTATCATGTTAGTTTTGATCACAGATGATGTCTTTATGCATTTAAGCCAGGTCGGGTCAGGTCAGGTCAGGTCAACCAGTAGGGGTCCTGCCGGGTATTCGTAGTACCTACGTGCCAGCCGCCTCTGGCAGCTTCGTAACATGTTACGAAGGCACCAAAACTACTTCGTAAATGTTCAAATGGTTGCTAAATTCGGATTCAGCTCCAAAAACTAGCCTGGAAACATGTATAATTCGAAAAAAGTACCGAGGTCATCATAGGTCAATGACCTGACCTGACCTTCAGGTGACCTTGACATCCACCCTAATGCATGGGAGCAGCATCAACTCACATGTTTGAATGCTTGAAACCACGAAAAGACTGCAAACGCGCGGCTAATGCGAGCCGGCATACGCCGAATCGCGATTCTGGCCAAACATGGTCTCGGAAAGTAGGTCACAGGTCAAAGGGCGAGGG